ATATATATATATATATAATTCATATATGTCATGTACATTGTGCCTAAGGAATATAGTATAGAAATCGAGAGAGAGAGAGAGAGAGGGAGAGGGAGCGAAAATGAAGGAGTGACACAATTATTGCCACAAGAAGGGCAAAGATAATATATTATTAGGGTTTTCAAGTTTATTTTATATATTGAAAGAAGCTATTACAAGGGAACTAGAGAGCTAAGCGTAAATGACTAGAAAACCTAAATGACATAACTCCCCTTACAAGAAAAATAAAGTCCTCATGTCAATAGATGATAGGAGGATAAAAGTATACAAAATAAAATCATTGTCTCTTTATTATTATCTTTAATAACACATTTTCCTGCATCTGACATTTTTTTTTATATATTTGATATATTTTCGTATATTTGACACATTTTTATATATACGACATTTTTTCGTATATCTGACACACTGTTGGGTCAATCCGGCGAGGTGGCTGGCCAAATGAGGTGGTCGGCTAGTTTTTGCTGCCATCGGCTCTCACCGACATCCTTGCGGGCATTTTTTAAAAATACAATATATATAAATATTCTTATAAATTTTATATCATCGATAAACTTTTTTAAAGGATTTTTAGCAACTAACAAGAAAGTTGCACAAATAAAAACATTATTTAAAAAAAATTTAGAACTCTTTAGATGCTGCAGAACTCGAGAAAATATTAGGTCAGTAATTCGGATGTATCCGGAGTCCAATCGTATGACGTTACGTGTAAAATGTGTTTACTACAATACACTGTGATTGGTCAACTTTTCACGTGGCGTCCCCCTATTGGACTCTGGATATATCCGGAGTCCTGACCTAATATTTTTTCGCAGAACACTATGCCTAGCTAAACAATGCAAAGCTAGTTTAAAGTGAAGCTTAGGGACCATTTAAGATTTTTTTTTTACATTTTTTATATTTTTATTTTACATAAGAGCATATTTACCTTTTTTCTAACATTCAAAATAAATTTGAATTTTTTTAAAATATTCTCAAAACTAAATTAAATTGTTTTTTAAAATAAAAAATTACAAAAAAAAACACTAAACAATCATAATTTAAAATTTTAAAAACAAATAACAATAATAAACAAAATAATTCAAATATCTCTCTTTATAAATATATTCTCAGCAATTAAGATAAGTACCCCAAAATCAAATATTTAAAAATTATAAATAATTTCAAATCCATCCATCAAAGCATACTTGGATGACTGCACATATTTGCAATAACTGTACAAATAATAATAATAATAATAATAATAATAATAATAATAATAATTGAGGCATAATATCCCCTAAACAACTCCCCCCACTCCCTATCATTCATCACGTTCATCGTAAGTAGAAGATCACGGATCAACCCCAACCGATTCGAGAGACTCCACGTGGCGCGGCCTGCATCAATCAAATTATTTTCATAAGTATAGAAAGATTTACATGCATACAACTCGATCCATATCTATTTACATATCTAATTAGCAAACTTATTTTCCGGACTTTTGACGTAGTTCTATTTGTCGCCCGGGTTATAACTGAGTTATTTTCAGCTTATTTATGAGTAACCTAAAAATAAATACCGCGAGTTATTTCTGGGTTATTTCGATATTATTGAAAATAACCTGAAAATAACTCAGGAATAACATCCGCGGCACATAGAGCTGCGTCAGGAGTCTGCACATAAAAATTAAAATAGTAATATTTTTTATATAATATTAAAGATTTGAGTGGTGTGAAAGTAAAAATTGAAAATTTAAGTGTTAGATATATAAATACATAAAAATTGGGTGGTATGTATTTAAATGGCCTGGAAAATACAAGAAAGTCTTAACATAAAGCTCCCTGCAAGAGCAATAACCTACATGCCATCTAAGATGTGAGTGAATGAAGCCCTCTCATGAGCCGGGGCTTGTGAACAGAGCTAAATGAGCTAACAAGCCAAACTCAAGCTAGTTCAGATTTGACTTATTAGCTTATGCTCTGACTTGTTTAAAAATAATTAATATAAAATAAACTCAAAATATACTAAAATTCAAACTTGTATCCTTAATTCATTGAGATTATGTAGATTCCATTTTATTTATTTAGCTAATTACTCATATCTATTAAATATTTTGATATAAAACAAACTTGCATTGATATTCTTTCCTTAATTTTCATAAAAATTAAATTCGGCTCAAGCCCATAGAATCAATCTCAAGTCTGAGCTAAAACTCATTCAACTCAAGAACCTAAAGCTCAAATCGAGGACGGCTTAGCTCGACTTGTTCACACCCTTATCAGCTCCTCAAACATTAATATTATTTCCAAATCTAGCCGTCTCTTTCATCCATTTTACCAATTTATCCCTCAAACATCAAAATTCACGTAAAACACCGATTCATATTTTTCATTTTTATGAAATTTTCAATGATTCATATCGAGTAAATGTAATTATCTATAAAAACAATTATTCATATATTTTTTAAAAAATGAATTCTTAAAAATGTATTATCGATATTATTGATTTTTTTAACATAAATTAATTTAAAAAAAAATGGCTTACATTGACAAGGCATTATTGGGCCGGGTCGGGGCGGACACACCAGACCGGACTGCATCAAAATCTCGAGCGTGCGCCATCTTTCGGAAAAAAGAGCGAGCGGTTGACGTATCGGCTTCCCTCTTCTGCCACATGGACAGGATCTTCGACTTCCGGTATCGTGCCTCGCAGTTTCTTATTCAGCCTCACCGACGGCGAGTGCGAGAGCTGGCCCTTCGCCGTGTGGAGTCCGAGCATCACCCCGGTCGACAACACCATTCCCAGCGGTACGAAGACCGCTGCCCATTCTAAGTTCTTCCCCACCTTCGTCTTCAACTCGGCGGCGGCGTCGTTTATCGTACTCCTCCGGTGAGTATAGGTGGAAAGACGGCGGCAGATCTTCGCGATTGTGGAAGCCATGATTGACGTTGTTGCTTTGGTTGCAGATTATGTGGAATGGATTGAAGATAGCGGTTGGTATTTATAGGAGTGAGCGAGGTTGGAGAGGGAGTTGCGGGCGAGATGGGCGGGCCGGTCATAGATGGAGATGAGATGAGCGGTTCAATGGGATATGAGTTATTCCAAAGGAGGCTTTTTTTGGGGGAAAATGCAGGGGGACCATTCGAAAATTGCTATTTACAAATCAGTCATTCTCTCCCATCCATTTTTAAAACTCGTGCTAAAAAATTGAAATACATGATAAAATTTCAACCATTACTTTTTTTTTTATTAAATTGTTGGTCGTTCAAAAAATCACGAGCGCTTAGTCTGTAAATATAGTTGTTTCGGGTGGTCAGTATAATTGTCAATCTTTTTAAGAAAAAAATTTGGTTGGTTGGTGGGGTGTTTGCGTGGGAGCTATGAGTGGAAATGAGGAGAAAATATTACGTTTGTCGTCGTGATGTCCGGATCATGGCGTAGATCGAACAACAACATGTGTATGAAAGTGTGGTGCAGTTCACATTGTTGTATAATCAGAATTTTGGAGTCTATCAACACAAATCCCACAAAAATACAAAAATGGGAAAACATTATGATACTCATATCATAACTATGAGGAGTGTGGCATGACAAGAGATTAACAATGTACAACCCAAAAGAGTAGTAATTGAGAGTACACGGATTCATGTTGAGAAAAAAGATGATAACCCCATTCGGAGAGCCAACATCAAACCAAATAATGCAAACCTTTGACATCAAAATATAACTATAAAAATTATCTCGTGAGGTTCATCACAAAATAAACAATAAAAGCTCAAAATATAAACAATTATATATAGGAAAATACCCGAGAAATATTCATCTTAGGTTGCAATTACAACACAATTGTTTATGTTGGATATTGTCACGACTCACTAAACATGTCTCTCACACACACACACACACACACACACACACACACACACACACACACACACACACACAC